TTCGCTGGAAAGCGACTTCAGACGAGTTCGTTTTTGTCCCTCCCGAGTTAGCGCTTGAGTCATACACCAAGCAAGCAGTTCTGTCCCAGATCGCAAGGCTGTTCGACCCCGCGGGGTGCTTGGCCCCATTCACTGTCTGGTCCACGATCTTCATGAAAGAAATCTGGTTGCAGGACCTGGGATGGGACGATGAGCTTCCAAGCGAGATGTTCCAGCGCTGACAAAGTTTCCTGCGGAGCTACACCGCTCTCGACCAAATCCATATTCCAAGATGGGTCGGCTCCCGGCCAGCGGTAAAAGTCGAACATCATGGGTTCTGCGATGCATCCGAGAAGGCTTACGGTGCTGCCATCTGCGTGCGCATTGAGGTTGACCGTTTGGTCGAGGTGCAGCTTCTCACAGCGAAAACGCGAGTCGCACCCGTGAAAACCGTGTCGGTCCCCCGGTTAGAGCTTTACGGGACAGTGCTTTTGTCCGAAATGGCGGCGGCTATCCTCCCGAATATGCCAACAGCAAGTACGAGCTGCTATTGCGGGACCGATTCCACCATTGTCCTCGCCTGGCTGGCAAAGCCCGCGTGTCACTGGACCACCTTCGTGGCCAACCAAGTGACTAGGATATCTCAAGCGACCGATATTAAGAAGTGGTGCCACGTTCCATCCGAACAGAACCCCGCGGACTTAGTCAGCAGAAGCGTGCCGTTACAGGAGTTGGTGGAGAACCAACTCTGGTGGCACGGACAAGCTTGGCTGCAGAGGGACCGAGATCAATGGCCGGCACCAGTTAGTAACTCCCCCGTTATGACCTTAGCGCAGCGAACTGTAAAGGTCCATTTCGCACTCAACTCAGCCGAAGACTTCCTCGAACGATTCTCCAATCTGGGCTCTACGAGTCCGTGCATATATCCTGCGCTTCACCAAGCGCTGCCGGAAGTTAGCCATCGCACAAAAGGGCCATCTTACGAGCGGCGAAATTACCGAAGCTGAAAAAACTCTTCTCGTAGAGACGCAGCGGAGGGAATACCCCGAGGAGTATCGCTGCCTAAGCGGTAAGCGTCCAACGCCAACGTCAAGTTCTATCCTGAACATGAACCCTTTCCTAGACCGTCATGGGTTGATCAGAGCATGCGGCCGTGTCGCAGGGAGCGCATGGCTGATCACGAAGGGGTATGTGTGCGTATTCGTGGCTTTTCCACAAAGGCGATACATTTAGAACCCACGTCCGACCTCACCACCGAAAAATTTCTCGCCGCCTTCGCTCGGTTCGTCGCAAGGCGCGGATGTCCACAGCGTATCCATACAGATAATGGAAAAACTATCGTTGGTGCAGCAACCCTGATTCCCAGTGATTTCCTTGACGCGTTTAAGGACTTTCGTGGCGTTTCATCCCACCAGGAGCTCCACATATGGGAGGTCTATGGGAAGCCGGAGGGAAGAGTTTAAAAACTTTCTTCTACAAGGCCACGTTCACTCGGAGGTATTCGTTTGAAGAGCTTTCTACGCTGCTCGCGAAGATTGAAGCGTGCCTCAATTCCAGGCCGCTCTCACCGATGTCCGACGATCCGACGGAGTTGCCCTCCCTCACTCCCGGGCACTTCCTTATTGGGGGACCCTTAATGAGTACGGGCGAACCCGAAATAAAGGGGAACATTAACTCGATCATCAATCGGTGGCAGCATTTGAAGGAACTTAACCAACAGTTCTGTCAAAGGTGGAAGGAGGAATACCTCAAGGAGCTCCACAAGCGGACGAAGTGGCAGACGCCGACGCCAAATCTGCAGGTTGGCGATATAGTGGTCATCAAAGAGGATAACCTGCCGTCCAACGAATGGCGGCTCGGAAGGATAACTTCCGTGTATCCCGGTGCCGACGACAGGGTCCGTGTGGTGGATATCCTTACTGCCCGTGGTATCCTCAAAAGACCGGTTGTAAAGGTCGTTCTGCTGCCTGTACAACCCCGTAGCTCCATGCAACAATAACGTGAATGTGCACTTGTCCCATTCACAGATCCGTACTAATACTTCTTCGACTTCTCTATTCCATCCTAGTTCCATCCTAATCCAGACATGGCCCCACGGATCCGAGCCAGCCGAACCACGAAGAGCCGTCGTGATCGAGGGATCAACTCGTACCAACAGACCGCCGGATCTGCCGAGGAGTTCATCCGCTACGGACCTGTCACCATTTTCTTCGCCTGAGCCCTGAGAAGAGACTCTGAGCTGTCCTTATTAATAAATATTGCGGGAACTGCCTGGCCCACCAACACTACGGCCAGGATTGTCGCAGTGGCGGGCTGTGCCGGGTGTGAGGCAAAACCACCACACTCTCCTCCACATACCCTCGTCTCGTCGTCCAGTCCGCCCGGCCTCAGGAGTATCGTCGCCATTCACGTCGGCCCACGCCGAACGCCGCCCTCGTCTCCCCGTGAGCCGCCCCGTGGCAGGGACCCCAGCACCATCCGTCGACTCACTTCTACAACATCGAAGCCTCATCATCCTGCTGTTCCAAAAACTTCGAGACGGCGGCGCTCGTCGACCCATGCACGCCGGTGACCTGCATTGACGACTCCTTGGCCAGCGCCTTCAAGTTGCCCACCACTTGTGTGGGCGTAGAGAAAGTGTGTACGACGGTGATCCGCGCCAAAATAGGCGACTTCCAGGTGGAGACGATGCTCAAGGTCGAGCCCCGTTTGCGCATCCGCACGCCTATCCGACAACTGAGCGATTCCGTCCGGGCGCGTTTCGGTGACCTGAGTCTTGCCGATGAACAGTTCCATCGACCGGCCACAATCTCGCTCATCTTGGGAGCAGATGTCTACCCGAACGTGATCCAGCCCGGGTTTCTTGCGCGTGAGGACTGCCTGCCGGTGGCCCAGAGCACCGTTTTTGGATGGATCGTGTCGGGGGCGTGCACCCAGCCATAGGCCACCACATTATACTTTGCAATCCTGCAAGGGGGGGGGGGAGGATGTTCAGGCCAGCAGGAGATGATTGCCGCGCACTGTGCACACGCCGGGCGCTCCGGTCCCAACTTGCGCTCGCGCGCTCGGAGGGGCGCTCGGGAGGTCTACGATCCACAGGTCACGATCCACACGGCGCTCAAGCCAGCATAGAGCATAGATCATAAGCCTTCGAAGTTAGTTACGTTTTCACCCCCGATTCGAACAGCCGAGCTACTACGCGACCCCCCGAATAAATACATACATATATACCACGAAACCATGCGTCTGGAAGAATTGAGCTTCGTCCGCCCCACTACAAACACATATCTTGCTGTTGAAACACGGCCGAAATTATTGCTACATCTTCATCATCCATTATAAGAAAAAAAATGTATAAATCTTCCTCGCAAATGTACTTGTTATTAGCATCAGCTGTTTTTGACGGATGGTGCCAGTGTGAATCGAAGTTGCACATCTGTCAAAAAATCCCACGATTCCCCCAGGATGGGCTCAGTGTGCAGAGCCTATTACAAAGCAGTCAGGTCAGCTGTTTTTGTTTGCCAGAAACGATTAAAAATTAAACATAGCAAAAATATGTGATAACTGGAGCACCTTAAATCGAAAACTAAACGTTTTGGCAGAAAACGAAGTCCGCAAAAGTAAGTGAAAAACGGAGCCTGCCTGATAGTAATCTATTACAAATAAGTTTACTAATATCAATTGTTATAATTATAATAGGACTACTAAGCTATGTAGCCATCAAATTTAAGAAAACTTCTAAGAAATTCACTGTCAAATGCATGAACCCAACAATAGAAGAGGAAGAAGGACCAACCTCAACTATTATACTTGACACCCCGTCACTGTACTCGAAGGTAAACGCCTAGGGACAGACTATTAACAAACGTTGGGTGAGTGACATATCCATAATTCCCCACTTCACATGCACATTATGTTTACGTCCTATTCACCCACCCTAATCGCAAGTAACAGGACACCGCCTAGAATAAACAAATGATTCTTCCCACACTCCAAGCTAGTGTCACCAATTATAAACAATAGACCCCATTGAATCATCCACTCCAAAATCACGCAACTGTCAAGAGATCGATTTCCTAGAATAACGCCACACTTGAGGACTAATCCGCGCTCACACTCCTAACTCCCTCATGTAATGCAACACCGATCACCAGCAGCAGTCGCCTTTCATCAAAGCCGACGCATCCCCAAATAGTGGTCCAGGCACGTACGCCATCGAAACGAAGATGCAGCCGAGGAAAGCGACACCCGAAGCGAGAATCGTGAGCACCGAAAAAAGGGCTGATGAAATCTAGCCAGCAGCGGAAAGATAAGTTCCGGTTAAGTCAAGCAGACCCGCGGTCAAGTCGGTCCAAATTGAGCCATAGAAAATAAAAAACTTAACTTTGAGTTTCGGATATTTCACTACATTGGAGACCACCTGCAAATCTTATTTCGACGGAGTTTGAGTTATTCTACAATACCGTCCTCTTCTTCGGATAATTACGTCTCGATCCGCCTTCTACATTTATTCCTTGCTCGATTCTTTCTTCCCTGCTCGGTTCTGGATCGCAAGTGCATCTTATTACTTCTAGTCTAGCGCAACAGTCTGAGCTAGAGAAGAAAGAAACGGAAGTTTCAGTTTTTGATCTCTCATAGTGTCCGGAGTAGCTGCGCTGAAGGCGTCCCCTGGACAACTAGATAGCCACAGTGCTTTTCAACAGGGGTGAGTATGTTCGGCTAAGCGCCTGTCCATTGCAGGACAAAAAGCATTAAAGAGAACAGATCTTTGAACCTAGCGCAGCTTGTTGTTATTGTTATTGATTGTTTGCTTCTCCCTACGCTCTTAATCTCTGCATCCCAAGAGCCGCGAGGGAGGCTCGTCTGCATAGCAGATCGTCTACACAGATCGTCATCGACAGCATCCGTCGTCTGGCACAGTGGCCCAATAAATATCACTGTAAAAGATATAATCAATAATATCACGTAAAAGATTCTGTATATTAGGCTTTATTTTTTTTTAATTTCAGACATGCTAATAACTGAAAGTACAAAGGCTCATTTACAAAAGAAGCTTAGTTGTCATTTATTCTAGATTCATAGGTAAATCATATATAATTTTGATATAAACACACTTATTTTTGGCAACATGTTAACAAACATATTTTGATTCAGTATATTATAAGTTTTCATGGTGTGTATGTATGTGTATATATTTTGATTCAGCATATCATTATTTTTCATTGTGTGTATGGAAGCTAATCCGCGTCCTTTAATGTGTTCCTTGTTTTAACCTTATATTTTTTGTATATTCTGGTGGGTATAGTACAAGAGTCATGCAGGGTAAAAATGCGTATTGGCTTTATATTTTTTGGTATATTTGATATGCTGATAAATTCATTCCACAGTGAATCTTATACTATTTTTACAAATTTCGGATACGTCTGGATTTAATAAATAGTTCTGTGGTTTACATAACATGGTCGAACATTTTACCCTTTTTAGCCCCTTTTTTATTCTCGTAGTTTTAATATTTTATAAGCCGTAAAATGTTGTAATATTTATAGACATACATTTTTTGTAAATTTGTTACAATTATTTTATTACAATTAAGCAACAAATGGAAGCGTAAAGCAGTAAGTCAGTAAATCTTTGCTGATAGTTAAAAACGTATAGATACAAAAAATTTGTGTACAAGCAATATATTTTTGTTGTTGAATTTCATCCTACTTCTACTTTATCATCGGCAGATGCGGAAATCAATATAATCATAGCGTTTCTTACAGACATACGTTAAAAGCAGAAGAATCGCTATAATCACATGATTTAATTGTATGGCTTCAAATGTTCCACATAGTTCTCCGGAATGAGTCCTGTCTTACCGTTCAGTGTACCCTGCAACCATCCAGGCTCATGTGAAAAGCGCACTGAAAATCAAAAAAGAAGTCAAAATAGGTTCTTTGCGACAATACTGCCGCTTACCATTAGTTATTATTTGATTCGGCTCAAAGGATACTTCCCCTTCGCTTTCTCCCATGCAAGCATATAGTGTCCGCACGCGTCTAAAAATATTTGATTTATTTAGTTAGCTAACAATTATCTGCTAATAATGGTACTTAATTACAAAAGGAGGAAAGAAGAGAAGTTAAAAGTTTGTTAAATTTTGGGTGATTATAAATATTGCATGCTATTAGCTTAAGGGATTGTTCAGGGGATGAGGTATGACAGAGGGAGTTATAGTTATGGCCTATAACCCTAAAGGGTTAATGTCGGGCATAATTAGACCTACATATCGGTAAGCGGATTAGCCAAAAGTACGGGTAGGTCTAGATGGAACGGCCAAGTCAATCTGACTCTTTTGGAGTCAACAATCCCAAGAATGAGCTTGTGCACGAACATTACCCCATAACATATTCTGCGATGGTGCAACGACGACAGGTCAATTAGATTTAGTCTACCCCGGTAGGGTGGCAAGATTCTACCCGAGTCCCAGTGAAAGTTACGAGGGGCAAAAATTAAAAATTGCTTTTGCACAGATTCAATAACAACCTGCTGCTCTTTATACTGCGGGCTCCACACACAGAAACAATACTCCAATATCGGACGTACTAATGATATATACAGTTGTTTCGTTACGTACGGGTCGTCAAACTCCTTGGACCAAGGCTTAATGAACGCTAAAACACCCTTAGCTTTACTGTTGCAGCTTGTAAGCACATCCTATGATCAAAAAGGACTCCGAGGTCATTTGAACTCGAAATTCGCTCACGGACGAGATTTCCTAAAAAATATGAGACAAAATGTGGAGCATGACGGTAAAATGTAATAAGTTTGAATTTAGAAAGGTTCAGAAAACGAAGATTAGTTTAACATGCTCCACAAGAGTAGTTCACCTAGATCCAGTTGAAGGCGTGTGTGCAAGTACCAATCAGAGTAAGGCAGACAGATTTTAACATCATCAGCATACATTAGTGTAGTAGAGTATGTTGTAACTTGAGTAAAGTCATTCACAAATAAAATAAACACAAGCGGGCCCAGATGACTTCCCTGTGTCACTCCTGAAGTAACATTAACAATATTTGACAACACATTACAAAAAAAAACACGTTGATTACGGTTAGAGAGATTGGACAGAATCCAATCTAGAAGATTCGATGTACATCCAAGCCACCGGATGGGACTGCCCTTAATCCTGCAGTAGTCTGCTCTCACGGTTCAGGCAACGAGATGGGGCACATGCCCACGCGGCAACACAACGGACCTTCTATAGGTCCAAGTGAGCTCGGGGCGGGAGGCTTACATCCCCCCTCCCGGCTACCGCCTTAACCTAACCTAACCTAGATTAATTAATCATTATTCTTGATAAAAAAAAAAAAACTCAAAAATAATGATTATCTATGATTTTTATTTTTTTCGCTTAAAATAAAACTCAACAGGAATTTACAGCTTCTGTGCTAGAATGTTCGCCAATATTATCGCATATCCTTGTCAAAGGACCACAAAGCTACACCCTGTGCTAAAATTTTCTTTTTGAAAATACATTAAAATGTTTTGTTATTTTTGGTTTTGTTGTCGGAAATACGTTTAATTAGTTGTCAAATATAATGATTATCTGTGAAGAAAATCGTAAAAAATCAAAAGTTTACAAATCATGGCGGCAATGCAGAGATTGTACAAAAATAAAGATTTTGGTGTAAATAGTGTTTTTCTAGGTCCATTAAAAGCAAGAGATTTTTTTATTAAAAAAAAAAAATGATTATTTACGGTCCCTGGTTATTACGCTGCGATATTATATTTTTATTAAACACTTGTTTACAAACGAAACACTGGTGATTAACATAAATTATAATCAATATAAAAGAGATTCGATGATATATTTCCTATTAGACTGACTAGAAATGTTATACCGTTGTTCCTTCCACTTTGTAGATCGAATTATTCCTTGCATGAACCGTTTAGGGTCATATGCTCGGATTATAATTCCCTCTACCATATTATATCCAACACTAATTCTCTTCCTCTTATTAAATTATTAATCCTTGCACACCTTTCTATTTATTAGTAACTGTAGTGGTATTTTATTTTAAGTTTGATTGCATGCTTAGTTTCTTAGTAAGTTTAGTGCTACTTTTCCTCGAATGTTAGTCTAATAGCTATCTTTCTTGCATGTTGGCGTTTGGTTCGGCTAGGCACCGCGCGTCATGCGGCAGCGCCCCTCGGTCGGTTGGGCGGGAGGAGGGCTGCGTTTTGCCTGGGATCCGCGCGTAGCAGCCTTCTGCTGGTTTCACACGGGCCACTTGACGGTGCAGTAACTGCGACGCCTCTTGAAAGATGCAGTCATTGCATGTCAACGTCCAAATATACCAAAACAAAATTACAACAATGTTGTATGATATTTAAACAAGAGGCAGAGAATTCAGGAGCAAGAAAAACACGACCGGCTTAAGCAAGAGCTTGAAGCGAATTGATAAAATAATATTCTAAGAATAAGTAAGATTACTTCAGAGTGCCGAAGCTTTATATCGATAATATTTCTATCTAATGTTTACCATTTTAGTTTTAATTGGCTGAGATGTAAAAAATAAGAAATGTAACAAAAAAAGCAAATAGATCAAATCTAATATATAACGAGAGGGAACGTTGTGAGTTGCTGCTGCGACCGCAACTTTACATTTATACCCGGGACTTAGTCAGTAACGCTCTCCTAGGGCAGACGGCGCTAGCATTGAAAAAGAGTGCATGCGAGAGCGACAGAAAATCAGTCCGAACGTGTCGTCGGGCTCTGCGTATCGACCGAAAATTGATTTGTCACTTTTGGCTAAAATAATAATCCGATCTGATCAAGATTCGTCATCCTGGTAGATATGGTAATTTTCTATGATTGTGCGTTTTTCCCGTATCTTCTAAGCTGTGGATGCCACAGATTGTCCTTTGTGGGGGCGGAAGGGGGTCATATGCCCAGACAAGATGAACGACCTAAATCGTCTTGTGAAAAGGTTCACGGAAGCATGCAACAAAGCCTTCACGGCACCATTCCCCCAAACAAACCAAGGGGTAAAAAGATGGCCCCCTGGTGGTCAAAATCAATAGGCATTCTTCGTAAAATCTGCAGGACTTTCTCCTACAGAGCTAAAAGCGATACTGTGGAGAAACAATGGGTAGACTATAAAATCAGAAATATACAAAAAAGAAAATAAAAAAAGGGCCTCTTGATGGTACGTGGACCAACTCCAGTGAGGAGTCCCCACACATTCTATTATATACTCATTTCCCCGGGTATACAACCATCCTAAAGAAGGATCGGTAGCTTCGATGGAATACATCCGTCAAAAACAGAACAGCTGGGCAGTAAAACAGATTCTAACCGTTTAAATCGCCAGGTCCGGACGAGGTGCTGCAAAGTAGCGGCATACGCGGACGACGTTGCAATTATCTATTCTGCGGGGAAATACCCGCAAACACTCTGCGACTTAATAACATTAAAGCTTGGCTCGAAAACGAAACTAGTCTTATTCTCCTTCAGCGACAGTGCCCATTACTTAGGGTTGTTAATTGACAAAACATTTAGTGTCAAAGATAGAGTGATGAAGGCAACGACAGCGCTCTACACATGCAGAAAAGGGATTGGCTTAAAATGGGGCATGAACCCAAGCATAGTCCAATGGGTAAAGTTCAGCGAACTGGAGCTTTTCGCAGTACTCCAAATAGTGCGCTCAATACCATTTTATGCCTACAAAGCCTTGAACTTGCAGGAAAAGAGCGGGCAGATATGGGTACCACAGCACATAGGTCACTCATCCACACTAAATAACAGCAACATTGTCCCAGCAAAAACGGACTATCAAGTTCCAATAGAGTACACAGATTCTCCCATCAATACAATCATCCTTCATAGAGACGATTGGCTCGAGGGACTTCCAGGCCCAGAGGGGTCCCTAAACATATTTATAGACGGATCGAGGCTGGACAATAAAGTCGGAGGAGGACTCTACTCCGAACAGCTAGACATACGTTACTCCTTCAGGCTCCCTGACCACTGTAGTTTCTTCCAAGCAGAGGTCATATCAATCAAGGAAGCTCTGAACTGCCTTCATGCAGCTGCCGTTACGGCAACTCGAAAAAACACTTATGGTGACAGCCAAGCTAAGTGCGACTAAAGCTAAAAGCGATTCCCTCGAACTCGGCCACCGTGGCAGACTGCCGCAGATTTCATTACAAAATGGCTCAGCAATTTGCTATCAGCGTTATATGAATCGGGCCACCAGCTCATTGAGAGCAACTGTATAGCAGACGAGTTGGCCAGATCTGGTACTAAAATCCCCCCTCTCCAACATAAGGAGGATATTCGTATACCAATGGCCACCTGTAAGCTAATCATAAAATAACAATACAAGCGAATAATATACGATAGGTGGCGATCAGCGTCATGTTGTCACATAACTCGCAAACATGGCCGACAATAGATAGGAAGCGCACCACTGAGCTCTGCAAACTTGGCAGAAAGAGGTGCAGCGCAGTGATGCGTTTTCTCACAGAACATTAACAATAAATTGTTAGAAATACTTAAATAGTAGAAAAAAAAAAAAAAATTATACCTGTCATTAGGGAAGAATTTAATCAAAATAATAATTCTTTATCCAAAAACCTGTTTTATATTTACCACTATTACATAGAAATCATACAAAAATGTATATCATACATTTATATCTCTAACAACTTTTCTTTATGATCACGTATACGCTTCTTGTCATATATGGGCTATTGTGGTAGGCGTGGTCAAATGATTTATCAAATATATTAAGTTTCAGCTCGATATCTGCTTTATTCGTCTTTATGCAACGGGCCGAAACCGGCCTAAGTGTGACGGGCTCCGAGCGAGCTTTGAGCCGCCTCTACCTAATCTTTCATGCCAAAATGTTCCATCCCCGCACTCCACTTCAACATGCGTGTATTTTTTTTTATATGGCTAGAAAATACTAAAATAACAATACTACAATATAACAAATAATAAATAACATAAATATATTTATTAAACTCACAACCACCAGTATCCACTGCCTCCATTTTGTATTGTTTCAGGTGTATTTTTGGCTTTTTTTGGCCTTGAAAATTTTTAAATTTAAAATAGGATTAGAAATATGTCTAAGCCCGAAATATTTTGTATTGCCATTTATTGTTTTTTAGGGTTGCATTTGAAAACCATCGGCTAAATATCGTTATCGTTCGTTCTCTTTTCTTACCGCGATTGCATGCCTTTTACAATGTGTAAAAACGTAATTGAATTATTTTTTCGTGCGTCGGCTTGTGCTTTCTTTAAGAACGCTCATCCAAGTGTCCCCTGCTGAAAAAGGCCTCGTGGGTGATGCTATCGCTAAACGTAATGGTCTGCATTGCAGTAGCAGAAGTTTAATTTCTCCAATGCCAGGGAGATAGCCTCATTTAAGATAAGCGTCTTTAAATTAAAGAGTTTAAGGTTAAGAAGAAGAATAGGCCCTCCATAAACCTCCCAAATCAGCCCAACGTGCCATCAAAATCTTTCCATCAAATCTTTCCACTCAATCAAAAAACTAACTTTCCTGCTATTAACATACCAAAATGTTAGAGGCTTACGCAGTAAGCTCGACATTCTTTTTTGAGATAGTGTTGCATTTGCATGTTGTTGTGCTTACCGGGACCTGGCTAACACCGGACATTCTTAGTTGCGAAGTGTTGTCAGGCGGGTACACAACTTTTAGAAAGTGGACTCAAACTTCACGTCGGAACACGTCCAGGAACCAGCACATTCCAATTCATCGCTCCCACAGGCTACCGATTTACTTTTGAAATCAAATAAATTGGGGCTCCCGTTTTCACATTCTGCAAGATTTCTTTGTTTTCAAAACGAGAACATTTTCGTTGACGAAATGAAAAGTAAACGGCTTTTTATACAACAAAACGAAAGGAAAAAGGAAAAAAATAGATGAATAGATAAACCTGACGCCTATATCAGGGTAATTCATTTTGTGCTTTCTTTATAAATAATTTTATTTTAACCAACCTCAAATTTGCCTCGGAAAAAATTGGCCAGGTCAACAACAATTTTCGTTTTGGTGCAAACAGCTGAGGCAGTCCGATTTGGTTATCGAAACGTTGGAAAGAAATAAATTTTGGCGTATAACATCACAAATGCGCATGTAACAGCTCAGACTGTGAGTAAAATGCGGTTAACAGAACATCTGGGCAAGAACATCTGTTTCCCACCCCATTTAATTTGGACTTTAAAATATAAGTGCAGCAAATTAATTTTTTATTTCAAAATTACAGTTTATCTTTATATCCAGGAGAAAGCATATTGGCAATTTAATTTTCAATTTGCATGCTGTTACTCACAGTTCGTCAGACATGTTAAATACACAATTGTTGCATCTAAGATGTCTGGATCTTCTTGGATCACGTAATTTCTGCCGTCGTTTTGCTTCAAAACAAGTAATTGAAAAAATAAAAGGCATTTTAATCACGCTGTATTCTTATAGGCTATTCACACTGACGACCATCCACCATCCATTTCGGGGATGGTCCGTAAGGATTTGCCGTTCCGAAAATTTCCCAGTTAGTCCACCATCCATTTTGGATGCTCCTAAACCGCACGTTTCTATGCGATAGTTAGCAGATGGTATTCAAATGCAACTCTGAATAATTTTCATTCACAACGAAATAATGGTATACACTGAAATTTCAAAACGTAAACAATGATTGTGACAAAAAAAAAAACAACAATCATGCCCAATGGCTCGGATGCATTCAAGGCTGGCGATGAGATTGAATGCGGCATGGCCTAGTCTGCCAGGCTGAAGTTGCAAGTGTGTGGCGAATAAATGGCGGACGACTGCCAACATAGAACAAATATTTGTATGCTCTGTAAATGCTTTATGTTATGCATAATTTATTCTTTAATAATGAGTTTTTTTCGAGTTGGATGGATGTAGTCTGGACGGATCATGTAGCTCCAGCACCTTTTCTGGCAACAAAGGCCCCCGCCAAAGCGAACCAAAAAAGTAGACACTTGGATGGCAGAGATCGACAGAGAGCGATTCGAAGAGCAGAAGGACCTTCACAGGAAGAAGGAAGAACATAATATGAGGCAGGAAAAGATAGCCTCATCCACACGCAAAAAAAATTACAGAATGATTTATTGGAAGTGCTGGCTGGCGAAAATCCTCTAGCTGAACCCTCCACGAGGGTGCCGGCTGGGCAATGGACACTGCATTACCCCGGACAAGGGTAATGCACTGTCGCTTGCTCTGTCCGGGGTAATGCAGTGTCTAGCTAAGGCTATGGTCCGGCGTCTTCCCGATTCAAAGTCGGGGGAACCGAACCAGGGCCATGGCTAGAGGTGCCTGGCGGTCAGGCCTAAAACGCTAGGGGGTGGTCCCCCCGAAAAATATTAACCAGTATGGACCCTCGGGCCAACTATGGAGTCGAAGAAGGAGAAAGCACGGGTTGGGATGTCAACCCAAACGTCGGTGGAAAGCGTGACTGCTACCACCGGCGGGCACGGGGAGGAGCAGTCCTCTCTGCGTGTCGCCAGCGGTCACACCTCAGACTTGGCGGGAGCAGGCCAGGTCAGTTGTAAAGCAACTGCCACAACAACAACAACAAAAACAACTCACTCCGTGCCCTGCAAGTTGAGCCGCACAGATGCCGTAGTCGATACAGACACGGATCTGGAGAGCGTGCTCTCTCTAAGCAGGACGGACGAAGAGAGCCTTCTCCGCTCGCCGGAACCAGGCACCAGCTCCCTGCGTAGGGAAGGGCCGAAGCGTTCCAAGGAGGGGATGAAGGCCAAAGCGCAATACAAAGCGGCCCTCAACATAAAAAGCCGGCTGCAAGGCAAAGCAGACATCTCCCAGGAGGAGAAGGTCAAGCTAGCCTGGGCCGAGCAGAGAGTAGAGGAGGGTCGGCTACACTATGCCCAGATGCCACAGATGAGGGCGTCGAATGGCGAATATGCCAATAAGGTGGAGGAGATGATGGCCACCAAGAGGCAACGCTCGACTGAGAGTGCCATTAAGGACACTCCAGCGAGCAAGCGGCAACGCGGGCCCAGGAGTGCAGCCCCTCCACCGAAAACGGCCAAGAAGCCGAAAGCGAAGGTCAGCGAGGTGACCAAACGACACCTGATCGTGGCACTCATTGACCGCAGCGAAGAAAACGGCAAGATGTCAGCGGCACAGTGGAAGCTGGTGCACGCGCGTCTTGTCGACGCACTCTTTGCACAGATGGAGGAAAACCCCGCGGCCCCAATGCCCACGTTCGATGGTGCTGGGTGGCTAAATGGGGTTAAGATCCTGAAGTGCAATGATGACCCAACCCTAAGGTGGCTGACGCGTACGGTCTGCCAACTGGAGGCGATGTGGGAGGGGGCCAAGCTGGAGGTTGTGGACCGGGAGCTTATCCCGTCCAAGCCTAAGGCGAAGGTACTCTTCCCCATCACGATCCAGGGGGACCGAGCGCTGAAGCTCCTTCAGCGGCAAAACGCGGACGTGCCAACGGCCGATTGGAGGATCCTACACATTGGTAGCCCACTACCCAACGAGGGGGGCCAGTGTGTGATCCTCCAAATAAACAAGGAAGCAGAGGATCTGCTATACCCCAAGTTCGGGAAGATGGCGTGGGGCATGGGTAGCGTCTACCTGCGCCTCAAAAAGCGCCACCCTGAGGACAAGGACGCGCATACCCTGCAGGCAGGCGAGGTGGAAAAGGACCTAGGTCACGAGTCCATCGTGGAGGCCGCCCAGGGTCTGGCGCTTGAGGATGAAGAAGAGGAAGACGGTGACCTGACGCTGGTAGTCAACCCGTCAGGTGCAAGCGAGCCAGCCACCCATGCTGAGTGTGCTGCAGCTCAACTTGCATAAAAGCAAGGTAGCGTCGGCGGAGCTCCTCATCGCCATGGAGCAAGGGCTCGCCGACATAGCTCTAGTCCAGGAGCCCTGGATTGCGACAGGCAATTCAGTGGCCGGACTAAAGTCCTCAAATCATAACCTGTTCTACTCAACATCGGTAAGCAGGAGCAGAACCGTCGTACTCGTACGAAAGGGAATCCATGCTTACCTTATGTCTCATTACAGCACGGATGACCTGACGGTTGTGATGCTGGAAAGTGAGGAAAAGCGCCTTCTGGTGGCTTCCTGCTACATGGCTCACGACAGACCCGCACCACCCGACGAACTCAGGAGCCTGGTGACAGAAGCCGGCACCAAAAACTATCAACTCGTCATCGGAACGGACGCCAACGCCCACCATAATGTGTGGGGAAGCACCGACATCAATGACAGAGGTGAGTCACTCTTAGACTTTATATTAGCAACTAATCTATATATAGCAAACGTTGGGGAGGAGCACACCTTCGTAGGTCCGACCTCATCCAACGTGCTAGACCTAACACTTGCAATGGGAAACAGTACTACGGTATCTAGCTGGAGGGTCCTCGATAGACCATCCTTCTCAGACCATAAGTACATTCAGTTCAAGTGCGAATTCAAACATCCTTCGAAGACAACAGTCTATAGAAACCCCCGGAACACAAACTGGGCAAAGTTTAAAAAGACAGTTACTTCGAAGCTCGCGAATCCGGGCTCAGTGAAATCCGCGGAGGATATAGAGAAGTCCCTAAAGACCCTATCCAACGAGCTACTGAACGCCTACCATGCATCGTGCAAACCCTCGAGAACGAAGAGGAGGTCCAAGCCACTCTGGTGGAACCGAGATCTCTCTCTCCAAAGGAACAACCTCAAGGAATTCTTCAAGATCGCCAAACAAGCGAACGAGGAGATTGTCAATGAGGAATATAAAATCCTACTTAGGAGCTACAAGAAGGAAATACGTAAGGCACAAAGGAACTCGTGGAGAAACTTCTGCTCCAACATCGAGAAAGTGCCCGAAACCGCCAGGCTTCGGAAGCTGCTTTCAAAGCAGCCCACAGTACAGAGCCAACTAAAACTAGACACCGGACAGTGGACAGAGGGCAGCAAAGAAGCCCTAACAGCACTAATGGAGGCGCACTTCCCTGGATGCACCGAGGTCACTGACGCCAAGGAGCATCAGGACCTAGCAACCGAGGAACACC